GTAGAGTCGGCGTTAGAGTTGGCGAAAGTGATTGCAGCCAACAGTCCGGTGGCGGTTCAGGGAACTAAGGCTGGGCTCAACTACTCGAGGGATCATACAGTTCAAGAGGGACTGGAGTTTATGGCCGTCTGGAACCAGGCTATGATACAAAGCGATGATCTCATTAAGGCAGCCATGGCTACGGCTACCCGGGCTACTGAACCACCAGTTTTTGATGATTTTTAAATAGATATACTGTATGTCATATATACTGTATATATAATTGTTTTATAATAATTTTCTCATTATATAATAACAACTAAATAAATGTTATATATTATATAAGTCGTAATATAGTGGAACTGTATGCTAAAATTGTAAACAGGTTTTAATATTTGTATTCAAACTACACCTACAGTTTGAGATAATTGATGTCATAATTTGTTTACATTTATGAGTTTTGAAAACATTTTGTAAAACATAAAATCATAAGTTTAATAATAATTTTAATAATTAAACACAAAATTAGTTTACAATGAGTGCATCGATACGATACATGCCATCAAACCTTTGCGTGGCTTTTCGCCAGCACTCCGTAAGCTACTACTCAACCGCGGCTACCGGTGCTGTCAACAGTCATCCACCGTATAAAACACTGTTATTGGAGGCACCGGTACCTCATGTATTACATGTCCGTTTAAATAGACCCGATAAACGGAACGCCATAACCGCACAGGCATTCCGAGAGCTACGGGAGTGCTTCGAGCGCACCGACCAGTGCTCCCACACGCGGGCAGTCGTACTGTCCGGCGAGGGAACGGTATTCTCGGCTGGGCTTGACTTCCAAGACATATCTACACTAATAAACGCCGGCACTGATTGGGTGGGCCTATGTGGACAGGCATCTGGAGCGCCGGTAGACATAGCCAGACGTGCGAAAGGCATCCGAAAAGTGCTAAAACAGTGGCAAAACTCGTTGACTACTATAGCCGAGTGCTCGAAACCGGTGGTGGCGGCGGTGAACGGGCCCTGTATTGGTGGGGGACTGGAGGTTGCTATCGCTTGTGACATAAGGTACTGTTCCTGCGATTCATACTTTTCCATACGAGAGGTGACGTTAGGTATGGCCGCAGATGTAGGAAGTCTTCAACGCGTTCCGAAAATTATGGGAAACGACTCACTGGTGAGGGAACTGGCGTTTACGGGCCGTAATCTCAATGCGACCGATGCCTTAGCTCATGGGTTGGTGAGTAAAGTGTTGCCTACCGGTGCTGAGGCGGTCGAGTCGGCCCTGGAGTTGGCGAAAGTGATTGCAGCCAACAGTCCGTTGGCGGTTCAGGGCTCGAAGGCTGGCCTTAACTTCTCGAGGGATCATACAGTCCGAGTGGGACTGGAGTTTATGGCCGCCTGGAACCAGTGTATGATTCAAAGCGATGATCTCATTAAGGCAGCCATGGCTACGACTACCCGGACTACTGAACCACCAGTTTTTGATGACTTATAAATTTCTATGCAAAACAATGACTTTAATTATTCATATTATATTATATTTTAAATTTTAAATTTTATGCTTTATATTAAAAGCAATTAATTTTTATGCGTTCATTTTTGGTGACTTTTGAGAGTAGATATGTGGGCAAAACATTTGTCGCAATTCTGTTCATCACATTTGAATGGCTTTTGTTTTAAATGAACAGAATTGTTGTGTCGATTCAAATGGGATTCACGAGTATAAACATGATGACAATTTGGTTGCGAGCACTGGTAGATAGGCTTTCCCATTATGTGAACACCGATTATATGCTGTTTTAAGGCATTACTGTTTGAATAATATTCATTACATTTACTATATTTACATTTAATTTTTCTATTTAAATGCATTTTTATTACATGATTATTTAAATTAGGTTGTTGAGTAAAACATTTATGACAATCATTATATCGACATCTAAATGGCTTTTCACCCGAATGTAAGCGTTTGTGTGCAATGAGTCCATGTTTTGATGTAAAAGATTTGCCACAATTTTCTTCATTACATTTATATGTCTTTTCATTCAAATGAATTGTATTTTTGTGATGATGTAAGCCTTGTTTTGTTGTAAACTGTTTGCCACATTCACTCCAATCGCATACATATCTCACATTTAAATGAAAATTATTAATGTGTTGAATTAATTGTGATTTTACTTTATACGATTTATTACAATTGCTGTAATTACATATAAAACTATTTATTTGTAAAT